CCGTCTGCGGGCCCCGCCGCCGCGCTCCGCCGACTTAAAGCCGGGACCCGCTGGGCGCTCCGGAGCCCCACCCCTCCCGCCGCCCATTGGCTGCCCGCGGAGCCGCCTCCCGCCCCCCGGCCCCGGCCTCCGCCCCCCGCGCCCGCCCGCCGCCGGGGCCCGCAGCCCGGAGCCCACTATTGGGCCTCGCTGCCGGGGTCCCGCGCGCCGACCGCGCTGATTGGCCGCTGGGGCTTCATTCATGGCCCCCCCCCCTCCCCGCTGCCGTCCGCGTACACATTCACGCCCCGGGGGCGCGGCCGCCACGTGGGGAGTGGCGCGGGGGTGGCACTGGGACCGCACCCCCTCCGGTCCCGGTTGCGTGGGCCCCGCTTTCCCCGGAGCGCGGGAGACTCGGAGCCGGGTCGGTCCCACGTTCCACACGAGCTGGCTTTCCAGCCGCATCCCACTGGGGCGGGGGGATTGCGGGCTCCGGGAGGCGCTCGGGCTCCAAGCAGAGGCTCAGCCCCGCACTTCTCCCTGCGCTGCGCCGCTGCCTGCGGGCCGGGATCCCGCGAGTCTGGGCTGCGGCGAGAGCGAGAGAGCGGGGTGGCTTCCTGCCTCTGCACCGCTCAGCTGCTCACCTCCGCGGCCTCGCCTCTGGCGTCTCGGTGCCCTCCCCTTCGCGCCGTTCCCCCGGTCTCGGTTTTCCCTCTTCTCCCTCTTAGACTCAGCGTCTCAACTACCTGGACCTCTCCAGCCCTGAAGGTACGTGCCGCTCGGACGCAGTCGGATCCGCTCGGGCTTCACGCCTCTCGCTGGCTCACCGGCTTTCTCCCTGGGCGCCGAGGCCAGGTGAGTACCGCGTGGGGAGTGCTGCGCCAGGACAGCGGGCGGCGGAGGCTCTACGCGTAGGTCCGAGCTCCTGTAACCGGCTGAGCTCCGGGGTTCTGCAATGAGAGAACGTCGAGGTAGAGGCGGGTTCCAGAGAAAGCGCCACCGGAGGATGGGGGATGGACACTGGGCCCTGCCCTGCGCTGCTGCAGCCCGTTCTCGCTGTTTCCTCCCAGCTTGAACCGGTGGTCGGTCGTTGCCGCTGGTTATGGTGGTGGTGGTGGTGGTGGTGGGGTCATGCCGGCCGGAAACTTGCTGGAGAAAATGGGTGGACTGACTCAGAAAAGGATAGTTGGGCACTTCAGAAATCCAGTGTGCAAGGCTGGCAGCTGTCCAGCCTCCCGTGGAGCCAACTCGGGCTTGTCTGGTAGGAAATCGAGTTTGAGGTGTCCTTGTTGGAGAAGTGGACAGTGGAATACAGCCGAGCTTTTCATCCCTGTCCTTGTTCGATGTGTCTCTCCTATGGCTCCTGAGTGGAGTAGGGCCTCAGTTGCGGCTGGTCTGTGCTTCATTTCCTTACATGCATCTATATTTCTGCCTGTTCCGGCGCTGGGCTTCCTGTCCACTATTAGACCCTCTTCTGCCTCTAGTCTTGCTTCAAAGTGATTCGGAGATTCCAGGGTGCCGAGCTGGGGGCCCTAGCTAGGATCCTTAGGTCCACTTAAGGAATGAAGCCTGTTTGAAGAAAGGAGACAAGAGCCCTGAAGGCAGCCGCTGTGGGGATGATCTAAGAGTGGCTGGGACAGAGTTGACAGTGAAGAGTTATACTCTGGGTTGAGACAGTGTTCTCTGAGCCCTCAGTGCCCCAAGTTCAGCACATGTCTGGTCCCCAAGGGGAGGAATGGAAGAGGTCAGGGTTGTCTGACTATTGGCCACAGTCCAGAACAGGCACCTTTAGGTCCCTTCTAGCCGCAGGAGCTGTGATGGGTTCCTGTGTCTGAATCCAGATAGGGATGCTGGGTTTTCCTCCATCTTGGTCCAGGAAGTAGTCACCTTGAGGCAGCTCGAGTTCTCTTGGTCTTCTTACCTGGTTTTCTCCCAGGCCTAAGAAGGGCAGGACCAAGGCTTGGGTTCCTATAGCTGAAATCTCTCATGCCAGTCCTAAGCAGGCCTGCATTACTCTGAAGATTAGGCTGAAAGTGGAGCTTCCCCTGTCTTCCTCTGGTCTGTTCTCTCTGAATTTGGGTTTCCTTCTTATAAATTGGGACTAACAATGTCTTATGGTCCTCCTGTCTCCCTAAGGTGAGCAGGGAGTGGTATGAGATGGTGGGAGTGAGCCCCCCTTCCCACACACAAAGGGCTTTTACTCTGCTCTGTCGTGTTGGTGCTGTCTTCTAGGTGAGCACCTAAGTCTGTTTCCTCGTCTGTACAGTGGGCTATGGGGTTTGGATCAATTTACCTTCTTTCCTTTTCCATCTTTGACAGTCTAAGGTTCTACATATTTACCCCAGTCCTGCTGGAAGATGGGAAATGTTTAGATAGCAGACAGATGCTGTGCTGTACAGATTTAGGGGTTCGAAAAACAGTGACCCACAGGCGTGGTGCTGTTCTGTCCATCCTTTGGTCTGTGCCTTAATCCTTGGGAGAGCTAATGACATCATCCTCAGAGTATAAAGCAGAGCTGAGTCTTACTTCTGCTGTCCCACTCATCATTCTCCCCATTGCAGTTTTGGCCTTCGGGGCAAAGATGGCCTTACAGCCTTATCTCCGGACATGCTCATAGGCAGGTCAGGGTTCCCTGGATGCTGTGTTCCCTAGTCTGTGCTGAACGGAGGGTTATCCTCAGTAAAGCAGTGCCCAAGTGCCTAAGTTACCAGCTTGTTGCCCAGCACATCTCAGTCCCCAGGTTAACAGCCCCAGAAGCAAGCAGCCTCTGTGAATCACTCGCTTCTTGGGGCTGTGCTTTCTCCATCTTAAAGTAGGGATGGTGGTGCTTTAATCTTAGGATTGCTCTGAGGCTCTGAGCATGTAACAAAGAACGTCATTTAAGTGTAGCGTACATAGCAGATGCTGCCCTTGGGTAAGCAGCAGCATGAAAAGTAAAATTAATAACTTTGCATTGAAATTTTAGACCCTCTACACTGGAGAGTCTACAATGATATGGGTTCTGAGTCCTACTTTTTCTAGGAGTTTAGTTTTGCACAGAAAATCTTAGTATCCCTTTTCTTCTTGTTCTTGGAGAACGGGTGGAACACTGAGGCCTGTCATAGGCTCCTGGGAGATACCTGTTATCAGGATGGCTTCTCTGTCTAGAACAGTGGTTCTCAACTTGTGGGTCACAACCCCTTTCACAGAGGTCACCTAAGACCATCAGAAAACAGACGTAATACATGACAGTTACTCACAGTAGCAACATTACAGTTACGAAGTAGCAATGGAAATAATTTTAAGGTCTGGGCTCACCCCAACATGAGGAGCTGTATTAAAGGGGTCTAGGCGTAGGGAAGATTGGGAAGCACTGCTCTAGGACCACCGCGTTCCTAGTCCCAGTCTCTTCTTCCTAACCATACTGCACAGCCATGGTGTGCACACGGAAGTCAGGCAACCCATGGGGTGGTGCAGACGGAATGGTGAAAACATGCCCGGAGATGTGCACTCTCACACGTACTGAACATATAGATACAGATACGCAAAGCTAGCACAGGGACGCACATACTAATTCACTGCAAGAACATATAGACTTGCATCCATAGGCCAAACATGCAGTTATCCAAAGCATTGCCTAACAAAAAATAAGGCCCGTGTCTAAACAGGGTCAAACACAGAATGCCCACATTGACTGAGATGTGTCTTCCTTCTCTGACACTAAAATATCTGAGACCTGTGGGCCCCTGGAGTCACAAACACAGAGGCACTTGGCTGGCATACAGTATTGGTCACACAAATAGGTACACTTTGGTATCTGTTAGCCCATGGAACTGGCTATGCACATTCTCTCACCCAGGTGAACAGATACAAAGACTTCTCCCATCCCCTAGACGTACACAGACACCATTATCCACTCCCTGAAGGAATCGCCAGGTCTGCACAAGGGACCAGAAAGCAGGAAGGGGCTGTGCTCAGTCCTGAGTCCAGTCCTCTTGGTTTGTTCTCAGCGTTAGCCACAAGGAGATAGAAAAGCTCTTCTTTCTCCATTTGTTTCTCGCTCCCCTCCCCTCTTCTCGCCTGTGCAGGGCAGCTTCCAGCTAGCCTGCTGCCAGTCTCAGGCTCCCCTGTGGGGCCCCTGCCCAGCCGGCCCCCAGGCAGGAGCTCCTCAGCTTTCCCAGAGTGCACAGCCCGCTCCAGGCTCTGGAGTGTGACCGAGCGCCTGCTCATTTGACACAGGTCACCGAGCCTCCAGCAGATGGGGCCCTCGCTGTGGGGGGCCTTTGAGCTGCAGGGCGGTTGGGGGTGGGTGTGGGTGTGGGGAGGGCTCTTGTAGGGAGGAGTCATAGCTGTGCAAGCTCCAGTGTGCAAAGCCTGAGGTCACAGGCATAGACCGCCACAGAGGCTGCCTTGTAAACACAGCTACACTCCTGAGGCTGCCACCATCAGCACCCTGGCAGTGATGGACTCACCATTCAGTTCTCCATCCCTGGTTGGGCTCACGAGCATAGGTTCGGGAAGGGGGGAGGGGAGAGAAGAGGTGCGGTCCTGCTTAGTGTCTTTTGGCGGCAGCTGGATCTGGCTGCCTTCCCCTTAGGTCCCTGAGCCCCTGGAGCTTTCTTC